CGACGACTTGATGTACCGGACCAGCTCGTTGGAGCCGCGGGGGATGACGAGGTCGATGTAGCGGTCCAGGTCCAGCAGCTGCGGAATCACGTCCCGCGTGGTGACGAGCTGGATGGCGCCGTTGGGCACCTGCGTCTTGTCTAGCGCCGCGGAGATGACCCGGGAGATGGCGACGAAGGACTCCGTCGACTCCTTGCCGCCCTTGAGGATCGCGGAGTTGCCCGACTTCACTGCAAGGGAGGCGATGTTGGCGATGACCTCGGGCCGAGCCTCGAAGATGATGAGGAGAACGCCGATGGGGCATGTGACTCTCGTCAGCTCCAAGCCGTCATCCAGCTTTGTCCTCAATGTGATCTTGCCGACTTTTAGCATGATTAGTCAAATTTCCTTTTTTTTTTTTTTTTTTTTTTCTCGTGTAACTAGTAACTACCTAGGTACACTGCATGAAGCATGAAGTACCCCTTAAGGGATGGATGACTCACCAGGATCCTCGAGGTCTCGCACATCCAGTATGCCTTTCAGCATATCCTCCCATTTCCCCTTCTTCCCGAGATCCAATCGTGAAACCAAACTTTGGCTCAACTGGCCCGACTCCGCCGCGAGACGTGCGGCTTCGAGGTCGCGCGCGTTGGCGGCCAGGATCTCATCTTTGGCGGCGGTCAGGCCGGCGTGGATAGCTGTTAAAGCATCGTTTCTAGCCGACTCGGACAGAGTTGCGAGTATGTGCGAAGCTTCTTTGGCGGCTCTCGCAGCCTCGGAGGGAGCAGAGTTGGTTAATGACATTGCTGGGTGGTGAGTAAGAGGCGAGGCGAAATGATATGTTCTATTCCGTATGTGGCCCTGCCTATATCGGACCGAGAACGTCCGCATTCGCAGTTGTGTTACGGTTGTTACTACGACGGGCACATTCCGGGGCTAAGGTGGCATATGGCATATGGTATATGGCATATCCGCCAGGCGCCACAGTGGGTTCGGATTGGTTCCGGCCCCTAAACCGCCCACCTCCAGCTGTCAGAAAGAGAAGAAAATTTCAATTTCGACACCAAACACCAAATACCAAACGACATGACGTCGAGATCAAAGTTTTATGATAAGTGATAAGTATATGCCATCTTACAACATTACCTCGCCGCCTCTACACTACTCGCCGAGTCTTGACGATGGTCGGTCCATCGGCGGACTGTTGTGAGCTGTAAGAACCCGTAACCCGTGGAAATCGTTTCTCATAAATCGCAATCGCCACATTACCTGCATGAGGCATGAGGCATGAGGCATGAGGGACTGATGAAGCGTCGGTGAAGCTAAGGATTAGATAGGTATATTTAACAATGATCAGCAGCATAATCTCGATCAAGATTCTTCTATTCCGTCTCCATTGGCCACTGCCTAGGGGAACGTGTGGAAACCGGCGTATTTATCGTGCTTCCTCACCGAGATGACCGGCTAGACGACACTAATGACCACGTCCCGGCATTAAGTAATAATAGTATAGTATGCTTAATAGACCGCTCCGAGCATCGCACGGCCGGGCCTTGCAGAATGCCGACTATTTTGGACAAGTAAGATGGTAGGAACTTGTCAGGGACGGTCACGGCAGTACGTGCAGGTAGAATGTTGCGATAATACCTAGATAATAAGTCCTATTCTCACCTTCAACACATACCTATCTCCACGACCGGGGGGTCTGTCCCAGTAGCCAATACCAATGAACCCCAAAGGAATGTATACCTAACATAATTGGTCGTATCGTGAAATACCACCATGTAGGTTATCTGCTGTCCCAAGCACGTAACACTGCAATCCTATTTCGCTACCCGCGGCGGAGGAACCGCCTCGACTGCTAGCTAACTTAGGTAGGTTTTGGCGTATAAGATAGAACTGTTAACCGATTAGAATCAGGGACCCACGCTCACGATCTCGGGCTTCTCGGCATTAAATCTTAAGTGCAATGCCCGTCCTCACTATACGGCAAAGGGCAACAGGCCAGACAATTGGAGCTCCACACGAGCACCAGCAGTTCTTCTAGAAAACAAGCGTATTATCTTGTTGTCCTTAGCGGACCCCAAATGCAAGCCGCTATCTTTGTCTCTAATGTCACCATAGTTATCGTTTAACTTTTTTTTTTCCATTTTCACCCACCTCCACCTTCTCTTGACAAAGGAATGACATTGCCTCGGCATCTCTCACACGTACCCATATTGTCAGTCCTCAGTTGAGGAACGACTATAGGACCATCTTTTCAAACCTTCGGGCAGTCAACTATACGAAGCCTACTCTGGCTTCTGTCCAAACCGATATCGGTTTTTAACTCGCCTCCTCACATGTTTGCCCGTTGCTAAACTTCAAAGCTTTGGAGAGTTTAAACGTTTTGAGATATGGCAGGAACTGATCTAGAAAAAATAGAGGAAAAACCGGAGGACTCGGGAACACGTGAAGAAACACCAGGAGATGAGGCGTCTATCACCTCCTCAAACGGCGACAGGGATGATGTGTCTATAGATGCCTTCCCCGATCAGATCCTCACGCCGGACGGCATCCCGGTAGATGAAGAAGCTGCCACCGCCACACCGGCGGCGCGGGCCAGGTCACGGGCGTCATCTACTCGGTCTCGGGCCATCTCAGTAGTACCGAGGCTAAAGCGGCGAGGTCTCTTGGCACAGCTGGCATTGGTGCCCGAGGTTGAGAGGCCGTACGACTATCCGAACAAGATCAAGTGGACCATTACGGCGTTTGTTGCGCTGGCGGCATGCGCGGCGCCGATGGGCTCTGCCATCTTCTACCCTGCCCTCCCGTACATGTCCAAGGACCTCCACTCGTCGCCGACGATAGTGAATCTGACGGTGGCCCTGTACATGCTGGCCATGTCGATCTTCCCGCTCTGGTGGTCCTCGTTCTCCGAGACCCTGGGCCGTCGGAACATCTACCTCTCGTCGTTCCTGCTGAACGTCGTCTTCTCCCTGCTGAGCGGCCTGAGCGTCAACATCGGCATGCTGATCGTATTCCGGATCCTGTCCGGCGGGGCCGCCGCGTCGGTCCAGGCCGTCGGCGCCGGGACCATTGCCGATATCTGGGAGCCAAGGGAGCGAGGAAGAGCAATGGGTTATTTCTACCTCGGACCGTTAATGGGACCGCTAGTGGCTCCTATAATCGGTGGCGCTCTTGCGGAGGGCTTCGGCTGGAGGAGTACCATGTGGTTCCTCACGGCGTACGGCGCCGTAGTTTGGGTCGCCGTTCTCTTCTTCGTCCCGGAGACCCTGGCCAAGCGGAAGCCGGCAGCGGCCACCACACAGCCGTCGCCCGAAGGTCTGTCGCGCGTCTCCACCGCGCGCTCCGTCAAGCAAGCCGCCGTGTCGCTAAAGAGATGCCTGATCGACCCGCTCGAGGTCATCACGTACCTGCGGTTCCCGGCGGTCGCCATCACCGTCTTCTACGCCGCCGTCACGTTCGGCTCGCTGTACGTCCTCAACATCGTGATCCAGTCGGCCTTCTCGCAGCCGCCCTACGGCTACTCGGCCATCGTCGTCGGCCTGCTGTACCTGCCCGGGTCGCTGGGCTACTTCGCCGCCTCGGTGCTCGGCGGCCGCTGGAACGACCGCCTCATGGTGCGCGCGGCCGAGAAGGCCCAGCGGTACGACGCGCGCGGCAAGCTCGTCTACCTGCCCGAGGACCGCATGCGCGAGAACGCGTGGATCTCGGCCACGCTGTACCCGGGCGCCCTGATCTGGTCCGGCTGGACCACGTACTACGGCGTGCACTGGGCGGCGCCGGCCGTGGCCAACTTCTTCTTCGGCGTCGGCAGCATGCTGGTCTTCAGCGCCGCCACCACCATGCTGACGGAGTTCATGCCGCGCCGCAGCAGCAGCGGCGTCGCCCTGAACAACTTCGTCCGCAATATCTTCAGCTGCACCGGAGGTATTGTGTCACAGCCGCTCATCGACGCCATGGGTGTCGGCTGGCTGCTGACGATGATCGGTCTTATCGCCTGGCTCAGTGGCAACGTGGCCATCTGGCTCCTGAGGAAGAACAGTCGCAAGTGGAGGGAGCAGATGGACAAGGCTCTGAATCAGTGATGGCCTACCTGTCTGGCTAGAGCAGTTATATTTTGGATATTGAATGCAGTACATAGTTGATACCCGCATAACGACGCAACGAGATATGGCTGTTTGGATTTAGTTTAACGGATACCAGGTAGGCTCACGTTGGTAGGAGAGCATTTTTTGGTAGCATGGCCGTTGTCATCTGGTCTTTGTTTTGCGCTATATGCCGTACATATACCACGTATTTCTTATCAAGTAAAAGTTCCACGTCGCTATTTACTTGGATGTCTTCAAGGTGCTGATATTAGCAAATGCAAACCCTCTACTTATTAGTGAGTTCTATCGTAATACCAAATATCTATACTTCTTTTCTATCACCACCCCCCTCAGCGAACAGCCTCCCCAGCGCATCCAAACCCACATTCCCCCCGCTAAACACGATCCCCAGATCCCAGCCCTCGTCTCCCGCCTCCCGCTCGACCATCTCCCTGAAATCCTCGTTATACAGGGCAACGGCCAGGGGCACGGCGGCGCTGGGCTCGACCACCACCTTCAGCCGCTCGTACGCCAGCTTCATGGCGCGCACGATGTCGGCCTCGGGGACGCTGTAGAAGCCGGCCACGAGCCGGCGCTCGTAGATGATGGACCACGGGACGCGGCCCACGGGCGTGCGCAGCCCGTCGGCGACCGTCACCGACGACACGGTCTCGACGCGTACGCCCGACTCGTAGCCGCGCTTCGCGTCGTCGGCGCCCTGGAAGGAGGGCTCCGAGCCGAAGACGCGGATCCCGGTACCTTCGCAGGAGAGGGCTACGCCGGAGAGCACTGCGCGGGGGGGGGAGAGTTTAGTGAAAGGGTTGCTTCTTGGAAGGAGTATCGAGCGATTTAAGGGATGAGATATTACAAAGGAAAAGAGAAAAAAAAAAAAAAGAGGGAAAGACAGAGCGAGGAAAAGGAAAAAAACTGCCCATCCTGGGGTCGAACCAGGGATCTTCTGATGTATCTGCTCCTGTGGTGGGCCACGTTAACAGTCAGACGCCTTGACCACTGGGCCAATGGGCATTTAGTGACTTGGTCGCAATAAGAGGTAATCTTGCGTCTGCTGGATTCGCTTTTACGTCAAATCGCAAGGGTAAGAAGGAAAGAGACACGTTCTGGACAGGCATGCCGTAGAGAAATAAGTTCAGACAGACCCGAGAAGACTCAAACAGTCTTCCACGGATGAACCAAAGCCTAGAAGGTAAAACACTGCACACCCTCCGAAATTGGAAAAGCCACTTACTACCGCCGCCTCCGCAAGGCGCAACTACAGCATCGAGGCCCTTCTTCCCCTCCGGCCTCTCCCTGCCCTCCTCGGCCATCATAGCCTCGACCTGCTCCTGGAACTCGAGCCCCAGGGTGCCCTGGCCGAGGACGATATCCGGATGGTCGTAGGGCGGCACGAGGCGAGCACCAGTCTCCTCGATGACCGTGGCGGCAACTGCCTCGCGCTCGACGCTCGTGCTGCCGCTGAATATCACCTTGGCGCCGTACCCCTTCGTCGCTGCGACCTTCGGGGGCGCCGAGATCTTCGGCATCACGATGTATGCCGGGATGCCGTTGGTGCGTGCCGCGAGCGAGAGCGCTTGTGCGTGATTTCCTTATGACTTGTCAGCGCTGGTAACTCTTCTTCTTCTGCTTCGTAAGATATATATATATATATACATATACATATACATATATATACATATACATATACATATATATACATATACATATACATATATATACATATATATATACATAGTAAAAGTAGGGCTCGAATCCGATCCCGGCTTAGCTGGCCCTGCGAGACTTGTCGCAAGTGGGACACCTCAGCTAACCCCCGAGCTAGCCTCTTATAATAGCTTCGTCTTCGTCTTTTCACTACTCGGCAGCAATATCAAAGAATCCAGCCCCAAAGCGAGTCTACCTAAAGCTTCCTAATGCAACCATCACCCAACCAGCTCATGAACTTCTTCATGTAACAAGCCTCCCCCCTACCCGCTCGACATACCCTCGCCCCTCCCCCTCGAATGTGAATATCTCTGACCACCACACAACCAACACCGCCGCAAACCCCTCAAGAAAAAAAAAAAAAAAAAAAAAAAATCAACCAACCAGAGCTATGCGTAACCACGCCCCTCTCGGCGCCGCCCCCCGCCAGCCACCCGGGCTCCTTCTTGAGGCGCTCGATGGCGTGGAACGCGCCGCGGGCCTTGAACGCGCCGATCTTCTGGAAGTTCTCGCACTTGAACCAGAGCCGGAGCTTGGGCTTCGCTTTCCCCTTTCCCTTCCCTCGGTCGGCGGACGGAGCGGATGCCAGCGCCGAGAGCGAGGCGCTGGTGATCACCGGGGTGCGGTGCACGAACGGCTTGATGAGCTCGCGGGCGCCCGCTACCGAGGCTCGGGTCAGTGGCGGGGACGTGGACGGGTCCGCCATCTTTCTTTTTGGGGGGGG